GAAAGGGGCGAGGTTGGCCTCAGCTCCCCTGTGCATAAAAAAACAAAAAAAGTGTGCAACAAACAAACACACTGACACACACAAGTCTATCAACAAACTAGCATGAAAATGCAATCACACAATATGCAAAAAAAAGTAAAAGAAGCAAAAATACATAAACAACATTTTTTTTTGCTTTTTCATTTATTTGAATTTTTTAAGCTTTTTAGTTTTTCTGTACCTGCAATGAATACGACTACGACAGAAAAATAGATGCACTACAACAAAATAGAAAAAAAAGGTAAATAAAAATGCCAAAATTAGATCCAAAATTTTTAACTAAAGTTTTACTAAAAGCTAAAATAATCATTAACAACTTAAGTTAAACTTAGCAATGATTATTTTAGCTTTTAATGCTACGAGCTGCACTTAAGATCTCTTGGGAGTTAATGATTATTTTCAAATAAAATAATCATTCAGGAGCTACGAGCTGCACTTAATCCGTACGAACGACTTATGTCTTACTACTTATCGATCCTACAGGGAAAGTACAATTTTTTTTTCCATAGAAAAAACTCTAGTTTACTAATTCAATTAAACTAGCTTAACAATTATCAAAATAAGGTTTTTAATTCCTAAGGTCCTAGAAAAACAGAATACTTGGCGATAAAATAAAAAAGAAAATAGGAGGAAAATTTTGTGAGTTTCTTCAAGATAGATGAGGCTCATGCTTTTGTGATTCGGGGATCGTGGCGATCATAGTTTTCATAAATGTTTTCCTACGTGATTTTTATTAATCTGGGACAAGATACTCCTTATGTCTATGCCTAGATCAAAAGAAGGCTAAAATTCATGAAGTTGATGCTTTCTCAATCCCCATGACATTTCACATGACTTTTTTTTTATCCCCTTGGATGATTACAGAATTTCACTGGAATATGTATATCCTCTCAAAATTATGTGGTTAATCATTCATTTTTACCATGCAATGTTAGAGGTCATAGTTTCACAAAATATCTGAACTTTTTAGTTGGCCAGACTAGAAGCAAATGAAGATTGAAGGTTAACCAACAACATCAGCCAAGAAAAACTCAAGAAAATTATTAACGGAAAACTGATGATAAATCCACTACCTCTACATTACGGAGACATGAAGAAAAGCTTAGCTGCTCATTACAGAGAAAATCATAATTAAAAAAATCACATGAAACTCCATTACAAGCAACATAAAGATGAAAAAGTTACAAGAAATTATTTCCCCATCAAATTCAACAACTTTTCCTCCCATACAAAATCTCTCATAACTTATAAAGTAAAGAAAAACTCTCTTGACGGTTTCAACCCAAGGAGGAAGAAATCCCTTAAGAGATCCCTCAAATCTTCTTCCAAACTCTCTTCTTCGAAACTTCAAACCTTCTAAGAGGACAAGAACGATTCTCTCATGACAAAAACATATTTTTATAGTTAGGTTTACATTAAGGATCCAACATAGACATCCAAGCTCTCCAAATTCATCAATATGACCAAAATAGATAAGAAATCCTGCAAAATACGAGTCTAGATGTCTGAAGTCGTGATTAAGCCAGACCCCGATGTGATCACGTCCAACCTCGATGTGGTCACACCCAAATCTAAAGTGGTCACCCCCAAATTAGGCGTTGACAAGTCAAACAACACTATATGACTCGTTTTAACACTATATCACTCATTTTAACACCTATAACCTTCACAACATCAAGAAAAATATTTCTCAAGTGTAAATCTATGATAAAAAAAGTGAAAAAACAAATGTAAAATGTAGGGGAAAATGCAATTGAAATTATGTAAAATTGACGTATGTCAATTATATAACTAAATATTTATGTAAAACATTTCATTTTGTTCTTCATGCATGAATAGTGCTCTAGGCACCATGAAATTATTATTTTTAACATAGATTAATCTAATAATTAAAATTTTATTTTGTAAGTTCATGATGTTTATAATGATATATGAGAACCACGCAAACTAGTTTGATTAAAATCAGACATCATTTTTTATGTAAAATTTTGCATTTTACATTCTCATACATAAAAAAATGGCCTAACATAAAAAGTTTTTAACGAATCATTATTTTTTATTATGTCCCTATTGAGGCATATGACTGATCTTCATCTGCACTATTGAAGTCAATATCTCTACGTGAAGGATGCCGACAAATATAATTATGGAGAGTTTTTGTAACGACCACAATATTTAGTTATTTGTTGAAAGGATATGTGGGCATATCTCATAGAATAAATAATTGTTGTCCCAATCCTAAATGTCCTTTCAATAACACCACACAATGATGTGTGGTTTTAAGTAAACATCCACTTTCAGCCCTAAACTACATTGTTAGCTCTTTCAAAATCAATAATGTGATATTTGTATCAGGAAAGGGTTTGACATACCCTCTTCGTAATGAATATCCAACATTAACTAAATTTTATTTCTCTGTTATAAGTATAATCATTATTATTGTATTGAAAATAGTATTTCATTTATTCATATTCAAGCTAACCTAGAGACGGTTGATAAAACTCAATAGAACCACAAAACAACTTTTAAAGTGTCCCACCATATGTATAATAATCATAACTAGAGGATCATCTTGAACTCATGTTTTCAAACACCAAGACAAAGAGTTAAAACAAGTTCACCAAATCAACTTGACTCAATTATACCGCCACTCTCCAATAACTTATTTTCTAACCACCACCACGACCACCACCACCATCACACTACCACCACCACCACTGAGGAGGGAAAGAGGAAAGAACATAAGAAGAGATATTAAGGATCGTAAACAATTCAAGCGTTGAATCTCATATGAGAAATAAACCCACAACCACAATAGTATCAACTATAAAAAAGTTATAGCGATTCAGGCTATCACCACTACAACCTTCTGATTAACACTCAACAACATTTTTCTAGTAGATCGTAGGAGGCATCTTACAATGCCAGTAAGCATCTTAACCTCTCTTTAAAAAAATGACACTATTTGATGAAATGTTCAACTTTATAGAAGATAATATATATGTGTATAAACTAGCCAACTTGAGACAGTAAGAAATCCTAGACATCATTAAAACTTTCAACGAGAGGTAACCCTAGACATCATTGATGATAGAAAGCAAATTAATATTTACTTCTATTAATTTAACTATTGAAAGCAAACTAGTTTATACTATTCTACCAGATATCTCTTTTTCATTCCGTCGAAAGTCGATTTTACGGTATAGACGCTTATGACCTCCCCCTCTATGCCCTGCGGTAATGATCCCTCTGGCATTACGACCTTTACCACAACGATGCTGTCCATAGATCAAATTATTTCGTGGATTGGATTTCACTTGACTGTCTACGGCTCCATTGCGTGTGCTCGAGGTAGAAGTTTTGTATAAATGTATTGCCGTGTTATTAAGTATTTTGCTTTAAGTTCTTTTCTCTATAAGAGGTGGAATAGAATAACCCGGTTGAAGCGTAATGATCATACGTCTGTAATGCATTGTATGTCCCATAATAGGTCCCATCCTTCTACCCTTTCCCGGGAGTCGATGACTATTCATAGCTATTACCTTGACACCAAAGAAGAGTTCGACCCAATGCTTTATTTCTGATTCGACATTAGACTAAATTAATATTTACTTCTATTAATTTAACTATTGAAAGCAAACTAGTTTATACACATCATTTTATCCTCTTCATTTGTATTTCTTCTAAACCCTAAACCCTAATATTTACTTCTATTAATTTAACTATTGATATCCAGTTATTTTTTAAAAGAAATACAAATGAATAGGATAAAATGATGTGTATAAACTAGTTATATAATTTCTCCTCATCCATAGCACACTCTCCCTCCAAAATACAATCACAAGTGCAACGAGAATCATCTCATTTGAGACAGAGAGCAACCGAATCGAGATGGAGAGTAACCCAACCAAGATATAGAGCAACTAAACCTAAAATTCATTATGTATAGACAGAGGCCGCCAAACCACAAAGGGCAACCACACCAAAGTAGAATCATCATACACATAAATTAGGTTCCCCAATTCATCAAGCAACAATTCACATAGGTATTCACCAAAATTCAATGAGCATAGCATATACGGAGCAACCCAAGGTATTCACCAAAATTCAATGAGCATATACGGAGCAACCCAATCTAAATAGAGAGCAAATACTAATGAGCAACCCAAGCCATGAAAGAGAGCAAACCTCAGAGTAAGACCATCAAGACAGAGATCACAAACAACAAAGAAAATACATTAATGTTAAAGGGTTGAAGGTACCAGAACAGGACGAAAAGTAAAGTAAATGACAACAAGAGAAGAAAAAACCCTAGGTAGCGTCAACTCGCTATAATGGATACGAAGAGGGGGGAAGCTAGATAATAGCAAAAAAAAAAAAAAAAAATGCGAAATGCAGGGTCGAGCCGACATCCCCATAGTGGTGCACGTTTAAATAAACACCTAACCAAACATTGGAAACCGCATTTTTGTGCAATTATCTACAGCCAAAAAACTACCCCAAACACACCCTAAATATTTATCATTTTTAGAGATTTGATTTATTTTATCTCAAAAATACATGAAAGCATAACTGTAACTTGAGATATTATGGTTAGAATGCTAATGAACATTAAGGAACGTGAGCATATAATGGCACAAACAAATAAAATAATAATCATCATTGATATTCATTACAAGCATAAAGTTCCTTAAAAGTTGTTGGTAATTTATAATTTGAAAAGTTCTAACAAAACTATAGTTTGAAAATATTTTTATTTTCTTAAAATTATCCATATTTAAATTGCTTTTGATTTTAACATATATATATATAATTCAGCATGTATTCATTTCTAAAAAAATATCATGAAAAGAGAGCACTTCAAGGGAGAAAAACAGCTGCTACAATCAACAAAATGTATATAAATGTATATGATAAGCAAGAAAAATCCTCTTGGAGCCCAAGAATGCGAAGTGATTAGGAAAAGAGAAAAAAAAAGCAAGTTTGAAGTTATACAGTAATTATGTTAACTTCAAAACATCCAATTATGACTTCATTCCATGAAGTGGAAGAGTGTTCTCTAATGAACTTAAAGGAAACTGATTCTGCCATTGAACAACTGTGTTTTTTGTAGGACGTAAGCATGCAAGGTGACTATTCAATTGATTGTTGCAAGCAGGCAACTTACTAACTGATACTGCAGCTTCCTTTTCCTTTGGAACAGGAGCTCCTAATGGATCCTGTAACACCAGAAGACAAAAAACTCTAAAGATTCATAATGATAAACGCTAAAAGTAGTAGTAATACAAACAGAACTTTGAAAATTTACCGCAAGTAGGAGGAAGGTGAATGGCTGATTATTGTTGGATTCCTCAAGGTGAGTTTCAATTAGTTTCCTCAAATCACTGAGAGTTGAATTCTTCGAGATCAACAGTTTTCTGATCATTTTACCTGTGAACTCCTTCGATGCCTCCCATTTTATATAAACAGTTATCATATCTGCTGCCTCGGCTCCAATGGGTTCTCTGTTCTCTTTTGTCTGTGCTTCTCTCACAGCTGCTCTCAGACTTAATATAGAGTTTTCAGCAGGCCTTGAATGCAGTACAAACTCTGCTGAATGGTTTTCTTTGGTGTCAAATTCCTTGTATTGAGATAAAGGGGATGAATGGATACTTGCAGCTTCCGTTCTACTCTTTGTGGGCGTTGGAACTGTGGCCTGTTGTGCTAATTCTCTGTGGTTACCACAAAGCCTGAATATATTTTGAATTCTTGTTCTTCTCGTGGATTCAGAGTCATTTCCATTACCTTCTTCAGGTAGCCTATCCAGATCTTCAGTGTGGCTGCTTGACAAGAAGGAAAATTTGTGTCCTATGCTGTCCTCCACAATTTCTTTTTCAACTTCTTCCTCCATACTTTCTCTATCTTCCCCCTCATTATCCTGCTCAAATACAGTGCTCAAGCAAACTTTATCGGGGAACTCACGCTTATCAAAACCAAGATCCTCTTCTATGCTTAAATTGTGAGAATTTTGTGGTAGGATATTGATAGACATTGAATGATGAGAATTCTGACCTCTTATTTCTATAATATCATTAATAGGATGTTGATCACCCATATCCAGCTCCATTGACTTCTCCATTCCTTGATCTTCAGAGCACATTGCAGCCAGTCGTTTCAAAAATTTCCCTTCTCCTCTGTCATCTAAATGCAATGCATCCTCATTAGCTGCACTAGTAAATTCCATCCCCTCTAATTGTTTCCTTAAAAAGTGGAGCTCCTCTTGTTGTTGATGCATTATCTCCTCCATCTTCTTCAGTTCAATTCTCAAGTCCTGAGTCCTCTCATCAACAAGGCACTTGATCTCATCTTCCTTTGCTGCTGCTTCCCTTCCTTCAACGAGCTGAAGCTTAGACTGAAGCCTTAGTATTTCATCCTCTTTACACATAAGTTCTCTTTGAACTTTACTGAATTCCTTGTCCTTCATCTTGTTCTACATCTGTAGATTGTAAATGAATTGGTTCATTGCCACAATTTTTTATTTTAGCATTGTTGAAGAATCTTCACCGCTTAGCTTATCCCTGGGAGTTGGCATGTGAGCAACACGGACAATGCACTTCGCCTTTGCTCCATATTCTAGAGTGGCAATAGTTTTGTGCATCTCTTTGGGATCAGGACTTGCACACAGAATCATGAGAATTTTTGATTTGTCATCTTCAAATGAATCCTACATAAGAATATGGATTGTTAATATTTGTTATAATAATAAGGTCCCCAAAGTAGAAGAATGAGCAAATTTTACCTGCAAAAGCATTGTTAATTTGCTGTCTCTGAAAGGAACATGGGAATCTCCGTTGGCAATGGACTCAACTACTCTTTTCAGAGCTATGTTTCCCTGGTTGATTTTTGCCGTCTGGAAGTGTAATCATTAGAAATATTGAAGTAAATGAGACTGCTTACAGCTCTAGTCAAATAAATTTTTGTAATATAATACAAGCATATCTAAATAATTAGAAAATGAAGGAAAATTGGACCCAAAAAAAAAAAAAAGTGTAAGCAATGAATAATTAGACAAGCTGAATAAATCACAAATAGTCCACACAACAAACAAAAACTAGTAATAAATAAATAAATATAAATATTACCTGTATCTTTGCCTCAAATCCAGCTTGGCCTGCTTGCTCTATATTCTCAGAGCCAGCCATGTCAACAAGCATAAGCCTTCCACCTACAGATGGGACATCCAGGATTATCTGCAAAAAAATAAGAAAATAAAAAAGAAAAAAAAATCATCGAAAGCAACTCATATTCAACAACTTGAAGAATAATTTTGTAAATTTTGGTATGAAAAAAGAAAAATAAAAATGAACTGACCACACAATGACTTCGAGAACTTCTTTCATTCAACAAAGTGCTTTTAACAATCCTGCGTTTCTCAACTTTTGCAACTTCTTTTGATATTCTTCCAGCTTCATTTCCACAGATATAGGTTGCATTCTTTGCCTTTCTTCCCATCATTTCTAGCCTTGCCTGAACAGATTATTTTTCTCAGTAGAAAATTATCATATAATATTATTCCTTAACCAAGTGATCATTTTCCTTTGTTAAAAAAAAATCTGGATATATTATAAGCATCATTATATCTACACTAATATATATAGTACCTCAGAATGCAGAAAAAAAAAAACAGTCAGTGAAGCAATCTTTATACTGAAGTACCTCAGAATGCAGAAAAAAAAAAACAGTGAAGCAATCTTTATACTGAATAAATTTCTCAATTGCATAATCTACTTCTAAATTATCATCAAATGTTATTGAATGAATTCTTAACAGAAGCTAGTATTAAACAAAGTAATGTTCACTAGGCAAACCATTAGAAGAAATCAAACAGTAGCGATTCTCAAAATTGTTCTGAAATTACCACAAACGCAATGGAGGAGGATAACCAGAGAAGGAACACCTGGGAAAAAGCTCATGTTTGTATTGCAGTAAAAAAATTCCTTCCGTCAGTAAAAAAACCAAAAAATAAAACTCAGGGAACATGAAAATGTCAGTCAACAGAATCATGAAGACTATAACCATCGACATTGCTGATGAGCCTAGAGTTATAATTACAGCTAAAATACATAAAAGAATAACGAATCACAGTATTCAGCTAAAATACAATACTTCAAAAAAAATTTTAAAGAAACAAAAAATTGACAATCAACCTTCTTCAATTATGAAATTAAGATCAAAACTCACCTTCGGAGTGCTTCCCTTCGGAAAATCCCAGCAGCTCCAGCACCATTCCCATTCCAACCAGCAAGCAGATCATAAATCTCCTCATTATATATCTCCAAGACTGCAACTTGTACAAACAAACTAATCCCAAACCCTGCAACATCCACCCCACCATCCCCCTCCCCTTCCCCAAGAATATCCTTAAGAGCCCTGTACACGATCCCAGCCTCCCTCGCGCACCCAAACATGGTGTGGCTCTTCCCAGCCCCTGTAGGGCCGTACATCATGATGGTGCATTTGGCACCGGAGCGCACCCCCTCAACCCTAGACTCGACGAACCTCTTATAGAAACCCTCAAGATCTTCGTTCTCCGAGAAGGAGATCCCGTCAAGGATGAAATTCCTGTAGCCGACGTCGGAATGGACACGTAGAGAGCAGCCATCGCTGGAGACTTCTAGGGCAGAGGAGGAAGACGACGAGGATCTGTCCTTGCGGTCGGAAATGTCGCGGATCCGGCCGATAACTTCGACGGGGTGCTCTGTTGGAGTTGCGGGGAGAGGATTCAGAGATGGATTAGGGTTTGTGCTGGCTTTTGGGTTGGTGAAGTTGAGGCGGTGTCTTGATTGAGAGGTTTTTGTGGGGGTTTGGTAGCTTGGAATGAAAGATTTTTGGGAGGGGGTGGGAGCCATTGGATAGATGGATCAGAGATCTTTGTTTGCAGAGGATTAGGGAGGTGGTAGATGATTCTTGTGCTTCTTGGAGACGGCGAGGATGGCGAGCGGAGGCTAAAGAGAGAGAGAGAGAGAGGCGCAGTGGAGAAGATGGGAAAAGAGTTTTGCTGAAAATTTTAAGCTTTTAGTTTTTTAAATTTGTTAATTGCTTAATATGCTTCGAGGTTTGAAAAAGCAATGGACCGTTTGGGTTTCCAACGGCTCTTTTTCTTCCTCTCTTTTTGCTGGGTTTAATTCCGAGATACTGTATTTCCCATGTTCGTCAAAGATGCTAACTTATGTTATCGAGGGTGCAAATTATCTAAATTATTTAAAATTACCAATAAAATTTTCTATTATATAACTTAGGGGATTTACATACATACCATATTAAACATTCATATTTATGTGTTAAATATCTAAAACTTAACTTTTGCTAATCTACCACCTAAAATTAGGGGTGTAAACGAGTTGAACCAGACTCGCTCGTGTTCGACTCGTTTATATTTTGAGCTCAAAAAGTGTGTTCGTGTTGTGCTTGTTTGCCTAGCAAGTCGAACACGAGTCGTTCACGAACAAAGAGACGTTTTGACAACCCTAATCACTTAGTCATATGATGATAAGGATTGGGACAAGATTTAAAACAACATTTGAATCTAATTTAATAATCTTTATTCTATTTTCTTAATTAATAATATTAATTGATTATAAATCTTTATAGCCTTGTAGTTAATTAATTTTTTTAAAAATACTACTCATCAAAGCCAAATATATATATAATCGATTAATAGTATTTCGAGCCAAAACGAGCCGAACATAAACGACAATTATTTGTTCATGTGGTTCATGTTGTTCGTGTTCGTTTCGTTAACTGAGAGAACGAGTCGAACACGAGTTGTTCACGAACAACGAGCCGTTTTGGCAGCCCTACCTAAAACCTTCGCACAACATCAAAATACCGCTTCGTGAAACTTTGTTGCTCTCCGATAAACCAAAAATATATACATTTTTAGACCCATATTTTATACTCATTTTTTGTGGCATTGCACTTTAATGGAATGTATTTTCCATGTTTTGTTGCAAGTTGTTAATTTCCATGATCTAACCAAAAAAAATTGTTAAAATATATTGTGAAACATATGATCCGGGAAATGGAGTATGAGTTCTACAACAGAGAGAGAATCACATTTAAATCCATGAAGGAGTATTTCGTTCATGGAATTAAGGGCAAATAAATAAGGAAATATACATTATTAGGTGTAGAATTGGAGATTTTTAGGGTGATAGACTAAAATCTTCAATTCGATCTTAGTGTTTAAGGACTAAAACGAGAGTTAGCCTTCAAGGGAAGGGAAGTGGGAGCTCTGGAGTGGGAGCTAACATCCTCCTAGCCTAGCCACGGATTTGGGACTAAACCTAAGATTAGCCAATGATTTTCTATAACACTAAATCAGGGTCGAGAATTAAAATTGCTCCTATTTGGCACAATACATACTTAAACCATTTATCTCATCTCATTTCACCAAAAACTCAGTGTAGTGGGAAAGATTTTTTTTTTCATATTAGAAAACTTCATCACATAAACATAATTTAGTAGTTACTAATTTAAACTCTGCATTTAAATTTTGCTAGTAGTTAATAATTTAGTTTTGATAGTATCTCAAACATTCAAAATTAGTGACAGTAATTTCATTTTATTTCTGTGAATTTTCTAGTTAATTTATCATCTCAAAATTTAAACATTCCTCGTGGGATCAATATTTGAGACTTAAATAGAAAGTCTTATATTACTTGATCACGATACATATATTTGCGTAGAATCCCAACATTAACTGCTTAACGTTATTATTCATAAAATATAACATTAAATTTTTGACAACACTGCAAAATAGAGTCAACTTTATAAACTTTACACAACTATATTCAACCAGGATCAAGTTTTTGGTGCCGTTACCGGGGAAGGTAAGGATAAATTAAATCGATTTGATAAATCAAGAAATTTAGAGACAAAATACAAAATATAAAGAAAAGATATATAAAATCAAAAATCCAATATATTACTATTAGAAAAATTTGAAAACAATAAAAAGAAATTAAAAGTTTAAACGAAATGGTGAATAACTTAGATAATCAAATAAATGAAAATCGACAAAGACCTTTAAAAGATTACGCTAATCCAACAGCAGATGAACTTCAGTTAACTATTCAAAATCCTGATGTTGCTGCTAATTCATTTGAGCTAAAATATGTTATTATCCAATTGATACAAAATAATCAGTTTGGAGGAACACCTACTGAAGATCCTAACTTGCATCTTGCTAGTTTTCTTGAAATTTGTGCTACTTTTAAATATGACGGAGTGTTTAATGATACTGTTAGGCTCAGACTTTTTTCCTTTTTCATTAAAGGATAAAGCTAAAGCTTGGTTAAATTCATTAGCACATGTGTCTATCAGAACTTGGGGAGAACTATCACAAAAATTCTTGGCTAAATATTTTCCACTCTCAAAAACCACTAAGCTTAGAAACAATATTACATATTTTTGTCAGTTTGAAGGGGAATCGATATATGAAGCCTGATAAAGATTTAAGGATCTCCTTAGAAAATGTCCACACCATGATTTACCAGATTGGTTAATAATTCAAACTTTTTACAATGGATTGGTAGAATCACTTAGATTTATTATAGATGCTGCTGCAGGTTGATCACTAATGTCAAAACCTTTTGATGAAACATACTCTTTAATAATAATAATTTTCAATGACCCTTTAAACAGGTAAATCCTAAGAGAGTGGCTAGTATTCATGACTCTGATGCAATGTATATTTTAGCATCTCAAATTGCTGCTATATCGAAAAAGCTCGATCAAATTGGAGTGAACTATTCTCAAATACCACTAGTATTAGAAGAAATTCATTAGGGCAGATAATTGATACTCAATCATCTTATGAAACTTTAAATGCTATAAATAATCAAAATAACAATCCTTATTCTAACTATTATAACCCTGGATGGAAAAATCACCCTAATTTTAGTTGAAATAATTATAACAATTCAATGAACCCCTCAGGAAATTTAATCATCCAAGGAAATCCTAATTACTGACCTTATTATCCTCCTGGATTTAACTCTAACCCTAACCTACAAGTTAATGAAAAAAAGTTGACGATGGAAGAAGTAATGTTGAATGTGGGAAATCAAATACAAAATCAAGGGGCTACTATTAGGAATATTGAAAATCAATTGTACATATTGCTACTGCACTTAGTAATAGACCTTCAGGAAATCTTCCGAGTACTATGGAAGTTAATCCTAAAGATCAAAATAAGGAGCAAATTAAAGTTATTCAATTACAAAGTGAAAAAGAAGTTGAAACAAGAATCCAAAGAGAAATTGAAGTTGATGAGGAGAAGGAAGAGATAGAAAGTGGCCATAATGAAAATGAATAAACACTAGTTCCCTTAGAAAAACTATTACCTACGTTTCCTCAACAACTAAAGCAGAAGAATAAAGATAAAAAATTTACAAAATTTTTGGAAATACTTAAAAAGTTAACGATAAACATTCCTTTCATTGAGGCTTCGGAACAAATGCCAAGTTACATGAAATTTACGAAAGATATACTAAACAAAAAAAGAAAGTTTACAGATCATGTGACCATTGCATTTAGTGAAGAGTGTAGCACTATTATTCAGAAAAAGCTTCCTAAAAAGTTAAAAGATCCTGGTAGTTTTACTATACATGGTGCAATTGGTGAAAAGTTTTATGGAAAAACCTTATGTGATTTAAGAGCGAGTATCAATCTTATGCCTCTATCAATTTTTAAACGTTTAGATTTAGGAGAGATTTTCCCTACTACTGTAACTCTTCAGTTAGTTGATTGATCAATAACCTATCCTAAAGAAGTTATAGAAGATGTATTAGTAAAAGTGGATAAATTTATCTTTTTTGTAGACTTTATAATATTAGATATGGAGGAAGATAAAGAGATTCCTATTATTTTGGGGAGACCATTTCTTGCAATAGGGAGAGCTGTGATAGATGTGCAAAAATGAGAATCAATAATGAGAGTTAATGATCAAGAAGTAACGTTTAATATTACAAAAGCTATAAAATATCCTGCACTAGAAAAAAAATAATGAATGTTTTAGGATGGAAGTTACTATTTATCTAAGTAATGAGCAATTTAAAAAAGAGTTTGAAGAAAAATTTAAGCAAGAAGAATTTAGTGAGAATGTTTAAGACAAAGAATTTAGTGAGAATGAGAATGAAATAAAAGAAAAAAAATTAGATTATATTCAGGACAAATTTAAAACTTTAGATTTGTTGGAAAATGATAATAAAAATCTTATTCCTTCAAGTATTAAACCACCTGAACTTGAACTGAAAGTATTACCCGCCCATTTAAAATATGCGTTTTTAGTAGATTCATCTACATTGCTAGTTATTATATCTTCTGAGTTACCTGAAATTCAAGAAAAAAATTAATAAAAATGTTGAAAAGATATAAAAAAGGCTTTTGGATGAACTTTAGCAGTTATTAAAGGAATTAGTCATTCGATTTGTATGCATAAAATTGTATTAGATGAACAATACGAACCTAAAGTTGATCCTCATAAGAGATTAAACCCAATAATGAAAGAAGTTGTTAAAAAAGAAATCTTAAAATGGTTAGATGCTGGAAATATATATCTTATTTCAGATAGTGTTTGGGTGAGTCCAATTCACTGTGTTCCAAAGAAAGGAGGAGTAGTCGTTGAAGTAAATGAGAAAAATGAATGAATTCTAATAAGACAAGTTACTGATTGACGAATTTGTATAGACTATATAAAATTAAACATGGCCACCATGAAAGATCACTTTCCTTTACCCTTTCTAGACCAAATGTTGGATAGATTGGCTGGAAAAAAATATTACTGCATTTTAGATGGATATACTGGTTATCATCAAATTCCAATTGCTCCTGAGGATCATGACAAGACAACATTTACAAGCCCTTATGGAACATCTGCTTTTCGTAGAATGTCTTTTAGACTATGCAATGCACCTGCGACATTTCAAAGATGCATGATGTCAATATTTAGTAATTTGATTGAACATGGAATGGAAGTATTTATGGATGATTTCTCTATATTC